GTGCATTTTGAAGATAATAGTCCACCACCTCAAAGACATATTCCTACTCCAGTACCAATGCCACCTCCTAATAATAGACGGTTAAATGCATTACAACAACCTTCTCAAAATCCATCACCACCATCAAGACAAAACCTTCATTCACAACCACCACCACTACCACCAAGACAAAACCATCAACAACCACCACCACCACCTCAAGACAAAACCTTCATCCACAACCACTATTGCCTCGACCCCAACCTGTTAACCCTAACTCTAGTAACCCTCTTGACCAGCTTTTATTAAGTATGAATAATCTCATACTTGCATTGAGTAATGGTAATAATAATAATAACCAACCTCGTAAGACTAAGGTGGCTAAATTCCCAACATTTAGTAGAGAGGACTAGGATCCGCTAACATGGCTAGATGAATTCGATGAGGTATACATCACGAATAGTATCTCAGACTATAGAAGGTTTGATATATTACCCTCTTACCTTAAAGGCTCTGCATACACCTGATTGAGAGGTGCTGCATGACATGTTCAAATCTGGTGTAATCCTAATCGGCCTCAGAATTCATTTGTCCATCTTTTTCAGCATCAGTTTTGTACAACACACCAACAAAATCTCTGGGTTGCCAACCTTCAGTCTTGTAAACAAGGGTTAGGAGAGACTGTGGAAGAGTACTATGACGAGTTAGAACGCTTATATAGGAAAGCGGACCCTATAGAATAGTACCCTCAAATTAATAGGATCAGACAATTTATCGACAGTCTTCATCAGGAATTGCGTGAGCCTATAGAAATAGACTGTCCCACTACCCTTCAGCAAGCTTTGACTAAAGCCAAAGCTGCTGAAGCTGCATTTTCTCAAGATGGTCCTTTAAGTTTGTGCTCCCTTAGACATAGTTATTTAACTCAAGACACAGCTATTAATAATGAAATGAATGAGTTAAAAAAACTTGTAACAAAAATGACCCAAAACATGAAAATTTTAGTTCAAAGTCAGTATAGGCCTTTATCTGAGCTCTGACCCTCTATAGTCCTCAAACCTAGTTCTAATTCACCCCAGATCACTTGTTATAATTGTGAGAAAGTTGGTTACATCACTGTTTTATGTTGGTCCCAGACCAGACGCCCTAATAATAATAATAACCATTAGATGACAAGCCGTGGTTTCGTGTATAATCATCAGATATATGGATTGTCATTTCAAGGTCTAGTAGAAACATTGGCCCCAAATAATAATAATAATGGGGGAGGCAATAGTAATAATAATATTCAGACCCATAATAATAATCCTCATAACAATTCGCCTAATAGTAGTTTAAGGAATAATGAAAGTAGTAATGATACATCTTCTCAACCTACCTATTTATCTATTTCAGTGAAAGAGTTAACTAACGCTATTGGCTTTACTGTCAGAGAGTATTTAAACTAATTTGGGCACCATCTCACAAAAGTAAGAGTGCCATAAGTAGTTTTTCGTCAGACCCCTCAGCACCAGTAAATGATTTATTAGATAAACCTTTACCTAACCATTTACCTTTCCCCTAATACTAGTTGGACAAACATCTGAACACGTGAATCAGGCAGTTGAAGTAACCTATTGTGAAGCATCCATAAATAATTACTCCATTTACTTAATATTGGATACAGGCTCTAGTTGTAGTTTAATCTTTAAAAAATTTCTAAATAAAATTAATAGAAATATTGATGCCCCATTAGAAAGAAACTTAGTTGATGTGCATAGGAATCAGAGATACCCATTAGGAGTCATTAAAGACCTACTTATTAAAGTTGGTGGTCAAGAAATTATAATCAATACAGAGATCACGGAGGCAAGAGATTACTTAGTTATTATTGAACAGATTGGTTATCTAAAGTATGTGGAAGAATTGATTTAGAAAGAAGGAAGTTTGAGTTTAAATGGAATAATAAAGAATATGAAGTATCAGTCATGTGTTGGAAGCAAATGGCCTACAAACAAGGAATACCAGTAAGGATAGGAGGAGAAAATCTTGTTAGTATAAATAAGGAGGAGTTAAAAAAGAAAGAACTAGAAGAGTATAAACCTAAAGTCAAGAGGATAAACCGGAGTTATATGATACAGAGAAATTATGATAAGGAACCTATTATAAAAATTGATCAAATGACTGTTAGCATTGATAGTAAAAATAAGTTGATAGAGCAGTGTGTTTGAGAACTAAGAAATGTCAGAGGAGATTTGGTTAGAGGAACAATTAAACGGGGTTGGCAAGAGCCGAAAGCCGTATGCTGACGTGAGAATCGGCTGGAAAAAAAAGAGAATCTATGTCTGGTGTATAAGGATACTATAGAGAATGTGGAAACATTGAAATGTTTAGTGGATAACCTGGATGAAGAATTAGATGTTGTAAGAGAAGATAGGATAATTGGTCATCTAAATAAGGATCAGAATAGGGAAGTAGAGAAGTTTCTGAAAAATAATAGTAGAATGTTTGCTGAAAATTTGACTCAGTTAGACCAAACTCAGGTAGAGCAGCATCATATCATTTTAGAAGAGGTAGCACACCTATAAAGCAATATCCTAATTGTATCTCGCAGTCTAAGAATGAATTTATAAACAAAGAGGTGAAACAAATGCTAAAACATAAAATTATACAGCCATCTGACAGCCCCTGGAGTTCTCCTGTGGTGTTAATAAGAAAGAAGAATAGCAAAACAAGGTTTTGCGTTGATTATAGAAAACTAAACTCTCTTATCCACAAAGATTCTTATCCTCTGCCACTTATTGACGATATATTGAATTCATTAACTCATTCTCAGTAGTTTTCTATATTAGATCTGGCCAGCAGTTACTGGCAGATCAAAATAGACCCCAAGGATAGAGAAAAAATAGCTTTTGTTACTAAAGATAGCCTTTATGAGTTTTTAGTCATGCCGTTTGGTCTCACTAATGTGTCAGCTATATTCCAATGTGTAATGAATAAAATCTTTAAGTTCATCATAGGCAAATTCGTTTTGGTATATCTTGATAATATTAATACCTACTCCAAGACCTTCGAGGATCACCTGAAACATCTGCAAATAGTTTTAAATTTGTTAAAAACAGTGGGGTTGAAATTAAGTAAAGAGAAATATCAATTTTTTAAACAAAAATTGACATTTCTAGGGCATATAATCAATAAGGATGGGATTTTATCTGACCCTAGTAAAATCGACAAGGTTCGTGATTATCCTGTTCTAAATAACCTGACACAGTTAAGAGGGTTCATCGGTTTAGCCTTGTACTATTGTAGGTTCGTAGAAAATTTTGCTCGAATTGTTGGGCTACTAAATAAATTGTTAAAAAAGGATACCTCTTATAAATGGCCTAATAATTGTCAGAAAGCTTTTGAAAAACTAAAGTAGGGGTTAATCACGGCCTATATTTTAAGATACCCCAATTTTGAAGCTCCTTTTGTTCTGTATATCGACGCGTACTATAATGGCTTGAGGGCTATTCTTGCCCAAAAGGATGAAATCTATAAGGAGTATGTTAAAGCTTATGCCAGCCGAAGGTTAAGTGATATTTAGAAAAAGTATTCTGCGATGAAAATTGAGTATTTAGCAGCTATATGGGTATGCAATACTTCTAGCCCTATATACACGGGAAAGAGTTTGAGTTAGTAACTGACTACCAAGCCCTAAAGTAGTTACTAAACAACCCTAACCCTAATGATAAACTTGTTCAATGGATAATGATTGCATCTAAATACCTTTGTGTTGTTTGGTATCGGAAAGAAATTAATCACAATAATGTCAATGCTTTATCCCAACTTCCTCACAATCCACTTTGAGGAAAAGAAAAAAAAAAAAAAGAGAGAACAGGCTAGTTAGTCAAAAATAAAAATAAAAATAAGAACCCTCAAATAAAATAATAATAATAATAGCCTATATATTAGTGTCGCCAAAAGAAAACATGCACATTTATATATAGTATATACTATATATAAATGTGCATGTTTTCTTTTGGTGATACTTATATATACACATCATAATATAATTAATAAACTAAGTCTAATCAACCATCTCAATAATATTTATCACCCATCTGTCCAGGATGGACCCGCAACAATATACTCACCTGGTCGATTATTTAAAAACTACCAGACTTCCTCAAAACTTAAATTACAAACAACAAAGATCATTTAAGAAAGTAGCTACACAATATTTTCTAATCGAAGATGCACTGTACAAAAAAAATGAAACTAATCCTTAATGCCCCCTAAAAGTAATAAAAGAAGAAGAATTAGAAAAGTTATTATATGCAATACATTCAGATCCCTTAGCTAGCCATTTTGGTATAGAACCTACCTATAACTGGATTAGAGAAAAATATTTTTGGCCCAAGATGTATAGAATTGTCTCAAGTTTTATACAAACTTGTGACATTTGTCAATGTTAAGGTAAACCTAAGCCCCATGAGGAGTTGCACTCTTTAAATGTCAGAGATCCTTTTGATCGAGTAGGAATTAACATAGTAGGTCTTTTTAAAGATATTATAGAAAAAGGTAACCATTACATTGTAGTAGCCACAGAATATTTAACTAAATGGCTAGAGGCCAGGGCCATTCCTAATATGAAGGCGTCCACTATTATATGCTTCGTTTATGAAGAAATTATCTGCTGTCACGGTTGTTCTAGGGTATTACTCTCTGACCAAGGCTTGTCTTTTTATAATAAGATCATAGATTCACTGTGTAATATTTTAAATGTTTAACACAAACTGGCTACAGCATATCATCCCCAGACCAATGGTTTAACAGAATGGTTTAATAAAACCTTATGTTTAACCCTAGCCAAACTTGTAAATCACTACAAGGCTACTTGGGATGAATTATTACCGGCTGCTTTGTTCACCTATCAAACAATTAAAAATAGTACAACACAATACGATCTCTTCTTTTTAATATATGGTCGTAGTGCTATAATACCACTAGATTTAAACCTACAAAGATTGAAAAAAGACTTGGAGTTAGCTCTCGAATTGATGGTGAATCAGCATATTAACAAAATCACAGCTGAACTAGGTCAGCATCGGGAACAGGCTCAGCATAATATTAAGAAAGCCCAAGGTCGACAAAAAAGATATTACGATAATAAGATCAAAGTAGTGGAGTTTAAAATCAGTGATCTAGTATTGTTCTATGATTCGGTTAAAGAAAAGGTTTATAGTGATAAGTTACGCAAAAAGTGGACAGGCTGTACTATATTCATGATCGTATAAAACCAGATACCTATAAACTAAGGACACTAAACGGCAAGGTCTTGACGAATGTTATAAATACAGATAAACTAAAAAGATATTATAATAGGCCGGCCTAGAAGTTTAAAGTTCTAATATAAAAAAAAAAAAAAAAAATTTTTTTAAGCTCGGGGACCTTGCTTGTTAAGAAAGAGGATGTGTAATATAGTTATGCAGTTATATAACACAAATGATTATACGAAGTCACAGATTATACGGTTCAAGTATCACAATCCTTACGTCGATCACATGACTATGGCACATGTAATGACGAGACAGGATAGTTTCCTTTTAATTATTTTTTTTTATTATTTATTATAATTATTTTATTATTACACTATTTTCTATTTATACCTATTATTACTATTTATTATCTTATGCTAACATGTGGGAGAGGCCAGACAATCGTCATGCACATCATCATGCAATTGATCAGTGTAATGACGGGATGATCCCATTAATATCCTGCATGAAAGTATACAGTAAAGCTCTACAAAATTAAGTATTAATTAGTTAGTGATTAGAAATGTAATATTTATAAAAAGATCAATCTGTAAACTAATGTAGAGGGGACGTTGTCTACTTATCTTAATAAAAAAGTACTAAAAAGAAAGTTCTCTACTCAAAAAACCTAACTACTTGGGCCATCGTTTCACACTATAATCCAACTAAGAGATTACCTATTTAAACTCTCTATAATGCAACCAAACCCTCACTTGTTATTACTAGGACATCTCTATTACATTTGTTAGTCAAAAAGTACCAGATGCTTGCTATAGCCTTAGAACTAATTTATCTTCAAAGCATCATCACTAGAGCTTTCCATACTCACAATCTGGCTAACCTAGACTTCAGTAAATTACGCCAAGTTTAAGGACAAGTACTTGTAAGTCAAAGCTGCTACCATTATCTACTTCTGCCCTTGTAGAGTTTACTCAAACCCTAGTATCCACTTTACAGACTATTACCAATATCTCTGACATTTCTAAACTACTAATCTAAATGGTTCGGAGAGGACTTTTGTCCACAGATTTACCAGTCCTCTGGTATTCTGCGGTCAAGCAAATCATTTTTCTCTAGTTCCAGCAGCCAGGTTGGTGGAGTGTCTTTCCAAACACTTATTGTTCGGCATTCCAAACTGGCCTGGAGGGGACTTTTATTCGCAGGTTTACTGGTCCTCTAGTATTTTGCAGTTAAGCAGATCCTATTCCTCCAGCCCCAGCAACCTGGTTGGTAAAGTGCTTTGCTATACACTTCGGTCTTGTTCTGTATTTACCAGTTCCTTCAATAGTAGTCCTTTACATAGTACTGTTGAAAAACTATGCTACTTCTCTACTTGGGTCTTGCTAAGCGGGCATACATCTTTTCAGTTTCTCAGATTAATGTGATTATCAAACTTTCTTCGTATAACTCATATATAACACAAATACTCCATAATCTCCCAATCAAGTTGGTGCTACCAAAGTTACAGAGATCTCGTTTTAACTGATCGATAAAAAACAGTAGCTGTTATATGAGTAGAATTTTTGAAATTTGTCACCAGTGGGTTTTGAACCCCTATCTAGCCAACAGGTTACTTAGGGGTGTGACAACTTACTAACTTTACTAAGTCACCACACCCTTTTATCTGTTTTTTTATTAGTTACTTTTTTTTAGATAATATTATAACTGTGTTTCACTAGTACTATCATTCATGTAATTATATTTTTCTTGGTGTCATCATTTTTTAGAGCTGTTATTTCTTTAATGTCATATTTCTTTAACATCATCATTTTATTAGTATCATTATATTTTTAAGCTATCGTTTCTTTGGTGTTTTGTCTCTTTAGAGAAGTCATTTTGTTGATATCATTGTATTTTGAAGCTGTTGTTTTTCTAATATTATGTCTCTTTAAAGTCATTATTTTGTTAGTATTGTTGTATTTTGGAGCCATCATTTCTCTGGTGTCATATATTTTTGAAGTTATTGTTTCATTGGTGTCATTGTATTTTGGAGCCACTGTTTCTCTAGTATTATGTCTCTTTGGTATTATTGTTTTGTTAATATCATTGCATTTTGAAGCTATTGTTTTGCTGGTATCATTGTCTTGTAAAATTATCATTTTATTAGTATTGTCTCTAGTATTGTTGCTTCTTGGGCTGTCATTTTACTGATGTTATTGTTTTTTGGATTTGTTTTATTGGTATTGTTATATTTTAAACTACTGGTTTAAGTAAGTGTTTGTTATTAGACTTTTTGTTTTCTTGCTTGTCTTAATATTCTTTTTTTCATTTTTGGTAAATTTCACTTGTCTTTATTTGGAATTGGGCTTTCAATTTGGATAGGTATATTTCTTGTTTTGTTATTTGGCTTTTTGTTTTCTTGTTAGTACTAATGCTTTTTTTTTGATAAATTTTGCTTGTCTTCAAGAATTGGGTTCTGATTTGGGTGTATATATTTCTTATTTGTTGTTTGTTTTAGTTTTCTTGGTCTTGGTTATATACTAATATTTGGCTTAATTGAAAGAGACAGTTAGATTTGATGAGTTGCATTGGTTGTTTCTGGTAAATATCTTTCTGTTGTATTATATTTCTTCACTAATACTTTACTAAATTAAACTTCTATTTTATTAAAATCACAATCAATTCAGTACATTAAATAGCTGAGACAATTGTATGAGATATATATTACTTATAGCTGTTTTCATAATTTCTGGGACATTTGAAAAAATTTAGCTAAATGATTTTAGCTAAATGATTTTTAGCAATCTGGTTAATTTATTATTTTGGCATAATAGATTCAATAAAAGATTAGTATATATATATATATATAAGTATGTACATATGTATTGTATTAGTGAAATGTGACCTAGCCAAAGTTAAAAAACATGATTCAAGTCACATGATTCAGATTCTGAAATGTAGACTGATCAATAAAGTGAAAGTATTTAATAATATTAATTCAGATTTGGCTTGAGGTGATGCTCTATTGAGAACAATAGTAGGCATTGCTGGTATTTGCATAGTGAAAACTAAAGTTATTGTCATTTAAATGAATATAAATTATTTATCATTAACTATAGATCTTCCAATACTCTAAATAGCTATGTTATATATAATGATCTTAATCATAATAGAAGCCTAATATTGTTTATAATATATAAAAGCTCCTTGATTTCATGTAATTAAAAGAAGCAGATAAGTAATAGATAAATATAAATCATAATTAAATAAAGATTATCTAACACAAAGATTTTAGCAGCAGTAGAATCTTTGGTTCTTAGACCAAATCTTTCATGTCTTCTTTCAAATAGTCTTCATTTTTGGTTGTTTTTGATGATGGAATATATCTTTTAGACATAGTATCATTTTTCACTATTATAATATATCAATTTTTATTAAATCTATTATACTAAAATAATAAATTAACTGGTTCAGTTGAAAGTCATTGCAAACCTAGCTTTGAATAAGATTATTATATCTACAATTATATAATCACATGCTGTCATTTGCAGACAAGCTATAGACAGTTCTTAGGAACAGTTTAAATTATGTAAATAGTTATTAAAGACAGTTAGGGTTTAGTAGTTTTAGCCATATTACATGAATTCGACTATCTATACTGTCTGTACGAACTGTTCGTAGATTTTGCACATATTTGCATTTTGTGTAACTATATGTATATATATATAACTCTGTACATGGTGTGAAGTGCACTAAAAAATAATGCCCAAATAATTTTTACTATAATAATATCATTTAGTATTATTAAAACTTAAATAATCTAAAGGTCTGAAGATTAGATTAACAAATTAGAATAAGAGATATTGTATATATATAAAATTTGATATTGAAAACCTTGTCTAGATGTTGAAATATAGTTTATAAAAAAATTTTAAGTTATTTGTTTTTTATTTCTTTGCTTTGTTTTAGTTAAACAAGATTTAGTAATCTAATTAGTTTTATATATAACTAGATAATATCATTACAAAAACAAGATAACAATAGTTAAAAATGAAATACAGTTAGACTTTGTTATAGTCACTCTTAATATAGTCACAACCTTGTTAAAATCACACTATTTTTGATCTAACTATTATAAAATATATAAATTTTGACCTTTATATCTCTTAAATTAAATAGAATACAAGCAAATTTGCCTGTATTTTTGCATTTTTTAGCTCTGATTTATTTTTTTTAAAAAATTAAAATAATTAAATAAAACTTTATACAATTATATTTGAAAATAAGAATTATTTTTTTGTAGTATTTATTTTTAAATTATAAAAAAATTTCTAGGTTACTTATAAATCAAAAATATATAATTTTTAAAATTAATTTTTAAAGCAAATAGTTTTTAGTTTATTTATGACAAACTTTTCAAATATTAATTTTAAATTTATAGTTTCTAATACAACTTTATGATTTAAATTAAGGATTATAATTTTAATTATTATAAATTTTGTAGTTTACTTGTAAAAATTAATACTTATTTTAAGAGTAAAAATTTTTTTTAGCTTCAGAAACATATAAAATTTTAGAAGACTTAAGTAAATTTTTAATAGTAAACTCTAATATTATATAAACTTTAAACTTTAATTAATTAAAAGTTTTTTAATAATTTTAAAAATTTTCTTAATAGTAGATCTTTAAAAGTCTTTTTAATTAGGAAGTATATTGTTAAAATTATATTTAAAATTTTATTAAAAATAGAGTTTAAAAAAAGAACATAAACAAATTTGCTTGTATTACAATTTAAGAGATAGTTACAACCTTTTATAATCACCAAAATTTTGTTTTTTAACCTAATAATTATATCAAGGTCTGACTGTACTAAAAAAAATAGAGGTAAAGAAGACTATAATAAAAATAACAAATAAAAAAGAAAGAAGTAAAGAAATAATAAAAATAAAAAGCAAAATTTTTTTATAAATTTTTATAATTATAATTTTATAAAAATCATATATTACTAAATAAACTAGTTTTTGCTTTAAATTTATTTAAATAGTATATAAAAATAAAAACTATTTAAAAAAACTTTTTTGATTATTATATTATATATAAAAAGATAAGAAAAGTATAAAGCATTATTTAAACAAATATTCTTGTATTTAAAATATTAGTATTTATATATTTGTTGTTATTACAATTATACTATTACTATCTATAAGATACAAACTAGTTAAAAATAATTAATTTTCTAAAGCATAGCAAGAACTTAATGGTCTGAACAAAATTGATGCACTTCTATGCAATATCTGACAGAAACTACCAATGAAATTTGAGATAGTATAGATCCTGTGATGATCATCAGTTAGAGTAACAATGCATAAAACTTTTTGCTTCAAACATTTATCAGATCCTAATTTTCTAGTTATATTTAAATGATTTAAAAAATAAATAATACTGTTTGATTTAGTAAATAGAATATAAATCTTTGGGGTTTGGATCCTATAGCTTAGTGGTTAAGCTCCCAACCTCCCACAGACTAGATTAATGGTTCGAGTTGGGCTGGAGGTAAATTTTAATAAAATTTGCTTCTGTAACTTAAGGGGTTATAAAATTGAATGCAAAGACCTATAGAAGTTTAAGTGCGGTATGAAACCAGAATAAGCAGTTCCCAAAAAGAGCTCATGTTATAGAGCATAGGAATTATATGTGATAGTGGTGTCACAGAAGGTTATACTACATAGAAGATCCATGAATTAGTTCTCTGGTTGGAGTAACCTGGAGGCAATACCAACATCCTTATATCTAATTTGCAGGATACTTGCTTAGAAGGATAATACAATAGTAGCCAAAACTGAAATAATGAGAAAAGTGGTGATATATGACTATAGGCTATAATAAAGGATCAAACCTTAACTGGAATTGGAAGCACCTCTGGCCTGCAAAACAACCTACTATAAAAGTTTACTCAACATAAAGGGCATTACCTATCTCTGTATAACTAAATGTACCAAATCAGAGCTCTAATTACATCTATATAGAAGTCTATAACAAAAAGAGTTAAAGATTTACCAGTATGAATGCTGCATCAACCAGGGTTAAGATACTCCAAGTTAGAAGTTGTACAATATATACAACAAAGACCAATGGCTAGAAGTATGTCAGTTATTATATATGAAACAAGTTCCTAACAAATATCATAAAAGGGAGTACAAATGGAATAGAAAAGTACACAAGTATATGAAAGACTAAAAAAGTGATGATAAAAGACCTGTAAATGGCAAACTGGTAGCAGCAGCAGATCTCTGGCTTAAGATATAGGTTAGTAGTATCTGAGCAAATAAGTGGGAGGATTAGGTATTCATAGAAATGAAGGAATACAAACCAGTATAACTCAGTTGGTGCAAACACAAGATAAGTTCTAATCCATCAGGTAGTATCAACTTTGTCATGTGGTGAACCTAACTAGGCAGCAAAGACCTGACTTAAGATACGTATACAAGAGGCTCTCAGCAGGCATACTAATTTGGGAGACCTTTAGAGACTAATCATCTGAATAAACCAAATTAGGAGTTACTGAGGTTTAATTGTGGGTCATAGAGGGAATATGGTTGCATAACTGAATTAGTTTTTTGTATAGCACAAAAACCAGATAATACAGAAGTAAGATATGGACTACTCTGGTAGGTTTAGATTACAGATAAAATAGTTTGAACCATGTATTCAAAAATTAGTTCAGTTATTAAATGTATGAATAAGCAACAAGATTGTATAGTAGTATACAAACTTAAGAATTAATAAAAATATACAAGAGGCATGACATAACTTCACCTTAAGGGTAGGATGTACATAGATCATTTTTCATATGATCTGTATAGTATATTAGATTTTTACATAGTAAATAAAAAAATACTTCTGATAAATCTTTTTGACATAGTTAATTTTTATCAAATTTAAATAGTTTATATTAGTAAAGTTTTAGAATATGTGTTGTTTTAAAAAAAATCAACTTTATATATAATTAAATTTTCCTAGATCGCTATATATTTTTTCTAGATAGTACAAAAAATTGCTAATTCTGATTAGTCAAATCATATGATGTTTATATGCAAATCATATGATATCATATAAAATTAGTTATACAAAGTTGATCTACAATCTACTTTATATGATATTAGAAATTTGTACACCCTATCTTTAATATTGAAAAAAAAAGAATATAAATCTTTTAAATAAATAAACTAAAATACTTACTTTTACAAAAAATTTTTTAAAAAATATAATAGATATACAAAGTATATAAAGTTATTTTTATAGGTTTTATAGTTATATAGGTTGTTTTAAAACTTTTACAAATTTTTAGCAAGTGTTTTATTATTACTTATTTTCAAAATATTCTTCTAATTTGAATGATAAATATTTTAAAAATTTATTAAAGCAAAAATTTGACATCAAAAAACTTTGAAATATATCTGCTTCTTAGTATTTATATCTTTTAAGCTTTTTTAATAGTATAATACTAAATTTATTATTTTAATAATTTATTAATTTAATAGGAAAAAAACTCTTTCTGCTTATCACTTATACACAAAATTTCATCTATAAAAATTTTATTAATATTTGTATTAAAAATTCACTAAGGGTTTCTCTAACCAAAGCCAATTTTTATACAAAAGTAAATAGCAAAATTTGAATCTATATCTGGTTTGCAAATTTTTCAGTGTAATATCTATATATTAAGTACAATTCTATTGGTTGATAGTAATTTTATTAACATACTTATCCAACTTATTCATTAAAATTAAAATTATTATTATTTAAATTTTGGTTGAAGTTTTCTTATTAATTATTTATTGAATTATTGAAAAATTTTTTATTTGAAATCTATGGAAATGCATAATTCAGATAAAATTTTTATCGAATTTGATTAAGTAGTTATTGAAAAAACTTTGTTCAAAGTGATTTAAATTTATAATTAGACCACACAAAGTTAAATTTTCGTATTGCATTACCCACTGACCCCAATTGTTCAAAAACTCATTTTTTTTAATAATAAAAATTTATTAATTTTTTTTTTTTATAAACCTGCTTGATCGCAGGACGCCAGTGGGCGTACAACTCTTTATTAACTCATTTTTATTAAAGGTGGTCTTCTAAATTTGTAAGATCCCCCACATTTTTAAGAATTACATGAGTTAACTATCTATAGCAACTGGATTACCAAATGACCCAACTACAACCGGGATTTTACCGGAACTGTCCATTTTCGTTTTCTAGTTTCTACAACCGGATTTTACCGGATAACCCAATTACAACCGGGGAACTGTCCTTTTTCCTGGAGTTTCTTGTTTTTCGACCGGAGTTTCACCGGAGGTGTCCTTATTTCCTTATTTATCTTGAGGCGTCCCTTGTGAGTTTGTGGCTGAACTTCAATCGTGATCCTGGCACGGTTTTTGTCCTCCAGTATAACTCGAACCGGCGACCTTGCGATTGGAGAAAAATTTATTTTAAAACCAAAATAATGATTCTTATAATCAAAATATAAAGACGTACGTACAATAATTACTCGATTCAAACACTAATTCAAAAAAATAGAGTAATATCGGAACATTTTGTGATGGTACCCTTTACTAAACCTGATTGGTTGAATCTAATATAGTTGTTAAGTCATGATCATAATTGCACGATAACATCGATTGGATTATGCGATAATAAATATCACAAAATTTGTTTTATCGGATTTGCTTTGACAAATAGATTTCATGATTTTAATCGTTGCATGACCAACATCTTATACTAATTTGTTTGAACTTAAGTTTGGATTTAGGGTTAGAGTTCATAATAAAAGGGAATAAGGTTATATGTGGATTTACGTAGTGTTTATATTTTCGAATCAGGCACCAAATTTTCGTATCATACATCTCACATTAACACAGTTAAATAATCCCTTCATAATATTAACTGTTTTAAACAAAAAAAGGTCCAATTTCTTATGACGTTAACACTAAAATCATAACGTTCATATTAAAATCTGATGGCGTAATTTTAGTGTAGTCGCGTTTACGTGAAGGTTAGAGTTACAAAACCTACCCGAACTACCCGAAATTAGTTTCGGAAAGCTCTAATCCGAAACTAGTTTCGGATTTTTTTAAAAAAAAAACCGAAACCCCGAAACCCGAAACCCCCGAAAACCTCAAACTATGATCCTAAACTTTAAAAATTCTAATATATTGATGACAGTTCTACTTCCCGACACTTTACTTATTTCCCTAACACATGTACCAGTATATACTATATATTCTATACACATTACAACTGTTTTCATAAATTCTAGGACGTCTGATAAAAAGTTAGCCGAATGATTTTTCTGCAGATCCGGTTTAAGTTATTGATTTTGGATAAATATTTTTATATTACATATTTGTGTTTAGAGACATGGAATATTTTTAAATTCAATTTTTGAATAATTCGAGATTTATTGGCTATAATAATATAATAATTCCATTTTATTCGAGATTTATTGGCTATAATAATTCCATTTTATTCTATTTTATTCTTAACGGAAATATTCCCTGTTCTATCATTGTAATGTTGACATAATCAACAGTATTAAACTTTCGTTTAAATACTTGTTTAGCATGTTTGGTGTGTTTAGTTTGTGCGAAAGTTTATGAGAAAGGCAGTTTTTAGTGACAAATAAATCTTGACAAGAAATAAACCAAAGCTCCAGATATAAAATAGACTTTTATAATAAACATACCGCACGAATAGATGCTAATATTAAAAAAATAGATATATGGTCAACTGGTTTAAATGTAACTTAAGATTCCAAAAAATCGATAAAATGTTGCGAAAGCTTTTCAATAAATCCATATCTTTGGAAACTGACTTATAGAAGATTTGTTAATACCTAACGTTTGACAATTTTTGAATCGATAAGCATTCTAAATTTTTTCAATCATAAAGTTTTGAGGTTTCGAGCTTCGGAAGAGGTTTTGGAAGGAATTTCAGGTTTCGGAAGAGATTTCGAGTTTCGGATAAGGTTTCGGGTTTCGGGTGAGGTTTCGAGTTTATGTTGCGGATGTTTTGAAATCGGGTGATGGTGATATTCGGATCTATTTTATGTACGATTTTTATTTTTTATTTTTTTTTGGTCTTTTTTGTCGGCTTTTTTTTTTATAATTAAGTTAGGATTTAGGATTAGAGTTATTAATAAAAGAGTATAAGTGGGTTTTGGTAAGGCTTATATTTTCAAACTGAACCCCAATTTCACATCTTCCGATTTCACGATCATCCGCGGCACTGTGATTGCAAAGATCCGGAACCGGAAAAATAATATACAGCAAATTTTTTCTATTTATATACAATTTTTAATTTTTTTTGACCTTTTTTGTTGGCTTTTTTTTTATAGTTAAGTTAGGATTTTGGATTAGAGTTATTAATAAAAGGGTTTTTGTCAGGGTTATATTTTCAAACTGAGCCCCAATTTCACTTCACAATCATCCGCGACACATAACTGCAGTGATCGCAAAGAAGATCCGGGAAAATAATATACAACAAATTTTTTCCATTTATATGAATGATATTGATAGCGCAATTTCGGTGTAGTCGCATTTACATGAAGATTGCACTAGGCCACCAATTATACATAATGTTGCAGATGAACGTGGAATCGGATGATAATGTTTGAATCTATTTTTTTTTTTGGTTTTTTTTTTGGCTTTTTTTGTTAAGTTAGGATTTAGAATTAGAGACATTAATAAAAGAGCATAGGTGAGTTTGGTAAAACTGAGACCCCATTCACTATCATCCGGTTTCACGATCATCCGCGACACATAATAATGCCCAATACTGCAGTGATTGTAAAGAAGATCCGGAACAATAATATACAACAATTTTTTTCCGTTTATACAAACGATATAGATGGCACAATTTCGGTGTAGTCGAAGATTGAACTAGGCCATCAATAATTAATAGTAATGACTAATACTGCAGTGGTCGCAAAGAAGATCCGGAAAAATAATTTAAAAAAAAAAATTTCCGTTTAACCGAATGATATAAATAGCAAGATTATCAAAATATTATTACACGGTAAACGATCACTCGCAAAGAATGTATGGTGTGATGAATATTACTAGTTACACCGCTCAACAAATCAATAATCATAATAAATTAAGTAAATTAACAATTTAAGACCATGTTTCTGATGCCTTATATTGTAGATCGTTTTTGATTGTTTGATCAACAACAATGAGTTATATACCATTTCTACTTGGCAGTGCATTAGAACTAAATTTGGAAACCTAAATTTGTACCAATAATTTTTTTTAATGAATTAGGTCTACGACAAATATGTAAATCCCGGGTCTATTCAAGGAATGTTTTTTCTAATTTCGTATAGATAACAATCTCGAACATAAAATCATTCCATCACAAGTTTGGCCGCTTTTTTATCAGTTGAAATTTGTATGATTTCAGGAACGCATACAGGTTTTGAAAGTCTATCATTAATACACACTAACTTTCAAATTTTAAAATGGATAACGGATTAGTACATAGCTATTACAGTTACAAGTTGTTCTTTGTGCCTGATAAGTTACCGATAGGTTTAAACTCAACATAGTTTTAGAATTTAACTGATTCGAAAGTTGATTAAAGAACTTGAAATCATCTGAACAAGCAAAAGCTTTTTCAAGAAAGGCTTAGAAATTAAAGACTTTGGCTACATGAAAATTCAGTCTATTAACTTGGATTAATAAAAAAAAAAATTCCGACAAAACGAAAGATCACATTTTGTGTAGCCTTATGTAAGATTTAAATAAGGATTTTATAGAAATTAGTTAGGTATGATTGTCAAGAAATCGTCAAAGTTTTAAACAATTATGGACGGAAAAAGACTTTGGGCAGTTTTCTCGATAACTACTTGGTCAATTTCGATAAAAAAATTTTTATCTGAATTCATATTTCTGTAAAATTTAGATAAAAAATATGGGCTTTATAATTTATCACTATAGCGATGTATCGCTACCCCGGGTCTAAGTCAAATCAAAATTTCGAAAATCAAAATCCCGAAAATTAATTGTCGCACCATGTGAAAACTCCATTTATGATTAGTAATCATAAGCCCCAGCGTTACCGACATCTTCCGACACGATCAGCCAATAATAAGTCACAATTTTGCGTAACGTAACACGATCAGAAAAATTCAAAACAAACGTTCAAACCGCCTTTTATGCTCTAACAAAAAAAATTCCTTGCTAAATTTTGCATATATGTAATATCACTAAAATCCTAGGCATCGCCCTGACCCTAAAGCAAACGAACTTAAACTTTTTTCCGGTCATATAAGATAAAGATCGGAAATCATGTCACTGGCCCTCGATGGTCGACTAATCATAACGATAAGAATATTGAAATCCCGATATCACGTGACGCGGCAACTAATTATCAGGGAGTAGCGATACATCGCTATGGCGATAAAAAATAATCCAAAAATTTTACCAATAAAGTAATCACTAAGAAAGCTACGCTCAAATTTTAAAAAATTGAAATTTTAACTTGAACTAATAAATTGGATAAGCATGCCAACAGGATTGCACATAAACATGGATGTTGCAGCCGGCACAGCGATAGATAGAAGCTACCTAATTTATCTGCAACCTAAATCTACTAGAGTGATTAAAGCTCACCTAGATTTGATAATACAGTCGTCCTTCATTTAATATCAACCCCGTTGATATCAACCTAAACTATAAAATGAATTTCTATATATTAAAGTTATACCCTCATATATATCAATTTTAATATGATTCCTCATTAATGTCACTATCAACATGAATATAAAAGCGATCCAAATGGGTTGATATTAATGAGGGACAATTATATAAAACGTTATTAGTTGATGTATTATGTTTTATTCAAAAAGTAATTGTCTATAGAAATATTTTTCTTGGTGCTTTTTCAAGAGGACAAGCATTGTCGATATGTTGTTGGTCTGGTAAACCAACAATTTTTAATATTAAACAATTTTACTTAATATATTAAATTTTATTTACTTAATAAAAATTGATTTAAATATATAATTATTATATTAACTAAATTTTTAACAATTGCCAATTTCGGGTATGCAATATATAATACAAAATTACAAAAATCTAATTATCTCAAAAAAATATTATATATATATTTTTTTTTATTTAAAACTTTTAGATTTGATGAATCTTATATAATTTTTAGTTTAATAGTATGCCTATTTAATTTAAAATTTTAAAAAGTATCCACAATATGTTAGGAGAGAACTTTAAATGATGTCTGAAGGCAGTAATTAATGACACATCAGAGTTAGCGAATTTTCTCCCTATAAGTCAAGATAGGATATTAATATTACTTCTGTACTTATACGTCAAGATTGTTCTGATTCTGATTAATTAACGTTTAAAAAATAAACAATAACGAGAAAATAAATCGTATGGATTGATTAAAACCAAATATCATATTTCGATTTCAGATTTCAATGAGAATGATGATTTTAATTCAAGATTGTTCTGATTTTGATTAATAAACATTTAAAAAAAGAAAATAAATTGTTTTGATTGATTAAAACCAAATATTTCGATTTCAGATTTCAATGATGAGAATGATGAAAAATGATGAAAAATGATGAAAATGATGAAAATGATGCATAAGAAATTTGGATAATATAATTAAAGACCAATCAATTAGAAAAAAAAAAGTTTTTTTTTTAAACAAAAAGAAGAATGATATTTCTAAACGTATTAATCCTATTTATCATAACTTCAACGTTGCTAGTACCAAATTTTGGGCAATTATATGATCCAAAAGATCCAGAAAGCGGATATATACCTAAAGATATTGGAAAAATTAAAGGGTTAAGAGATAAAAATGCACTATTCGACATTCACTCCAAATGGGGAGAAAATGAAATGTATTGTATCGATATTCAAACACCACCACCTTTCACTACTCTTGTACCTTATTATAACGTATATATTCGTTGGTCGAAATCAACGGAATGTAATCCCAACGTACCATTAACAAATTTTCAAATAACATTACACAACGATCCGAAAACGGCAGGGACAAAAGTATCACCAAAAGTTAAATCGTTATGGTCAAAACAAATAGCTGTGAACGTTCCAAAAATGGAATTTTTATGGCAAGTACCATTAATTGCGGAAGATAATATCAAGAATATGTCGTTATTTTATATAAAGGTAGAAACAGAAGGAATTATTAATAGTGGAGTTTATACAGTTTTTGGAGTCACGGGGCCATTTACGATTTGGAAATCACCGGATACAGTTAATAAAACATTGTACGGACCACCACCAAAAGATAATAATGCGGGAAATGAAACTATGAAACAAAAATTGGGGAAAACAGTGTCACTGGGAAATACGAATGCTTTAAAATATATGTCATTTGAAGATACGTTATTTAACATAGCAGCACTCTTGTCTATAATCATGGCGGCAGTTGCACTATTTTTGTTATAATAACGAAATATAAAGAAATATAAAGAAATATAAAGAAATATAAAGAAATATAAAGAAATATAAAGAAATATAAAGAAATAT